TTGGCCACCGAAATGCGCAACGAATCGTTCCTTAACAGTTGACCAGGTAATCTCTTCGTCTTCCATCGTTTGCGTAATCCAATGTGCTGCAGAACCCTTTAAAGTCCACGCGACTGGATCGGCGCTTGCGACTTCGGGGTTAAAACGTGGTAGTGTTAATTTCTCAGGTTTTACACTCGGTACCTGCTCTTTCGGCTGAGTTAACCGGTCCACGACCCTCAAGAGTTGTGCCATTGTTATAAATGGCCCTGATCCCACTTCTGATGTCGGATGAGCACAGGGATTAAGGTTGTGGGCGTCAAATGAATCTTCACGGGAATTAGCCATTGATGCGGTACAACACAGGTGTAATATGGCCCTTCGCACGGCATTTGAAGCAAATTACCTTGGACGGTGTAGCTGATCGGCTTCCTTCCTGGCGTCGTGTATTCCCCTGCTTTTCGCTCCGCATCCTCTTGCGGCACTCCCTAGCTTTATACCCGAAGACCGCACAGTGCACTTGGACCGGAGGTCTGATGGCCTGCTTCTTTTAGTTCCGGGGTCCGCTGGTGGATTTTCTGGCGAAGATGTCGGCTCCTCCTCGTAACAGAAGAGTCTCATTTCGTTCCGAAATTGGTCCTCCCTCTTGATGTCACTCGTGAGAGTCAATCGTTTAAAACGTTGATCGCGCAAACTTGATAGGTGCAGAGCGATGGCGTTAAGTATTTCGTCCCTCGTAGAATGTCGCCACCTCGTCTTCAGGAGGGAACGGATACAACCGCAATACGCCCCTGGGGATTCGTTCTTTCCCCGTGGTTCCCTGGATACTTTTATTAACGACGAGGACGTTGTCTCTTGGCCACCGAAATGCGCAACGAATCGTTCCTTAACAGTTGACCAGGTAATCTCTTCGTCTTCCATCGTTTGCGTAATCCAATGTGCTGCAGAACCCTTTAAAGTCCACGCGACTGGATCGGCGCTTGCGACTTCGGGGTTAAAACGTGGTAGTGTTAATTTCTCAGGTTTTACACTCGGTACCTGCTCTTTCGGCTGAGTTAACCGGTCCACGACCCTCAAGAGTTGTGCCATTGTTATAAATGGCCCTGATCCCACTTCTGATGTCGGATGAGCACAGGGATTAAGGTTGTGGGCGTCAAATGAATCTTCACGGGAATTAGCCATTGATGCGGTACAACACAGGTGTAGTTTATTACAATAATGGGATTGTTACAGTTCTGACAATTAATCACGGCGATTAGACACTCGCGACACTAGTGACAATAGTCTCAGATTCGATAACGAATCCGCGGTCAACGGGATGATGAACGTTCTCACAAAATCTAAATCTGACTCTTTGTTAGCAAAACGTGAAATAATCACTGATCGTAAAGACGTTACTCTTTAGTCGATGAGATCGCGAGAGAGAATGACTTTCCGTCCCGATAATGCCACAGAGGGAAAACTATATGGGGTGTGTCTAAGGTCACGAGATCCTCGGATTCGTCGAGGAAATCAAAATTTACAATTAATTCTCGCATTGAGAATAACTAAATCTTAAGATTTATAACGGGCCCTCAGGCTAGCTGAACATGTATTGCGGAGACGCATCGACATCTGGCAATCATCTTACTCGAAGAATAGGGTCTGCGTGTGGAGAGCTACGGGACAGAGATCATTGGAATGTTTACTGTCGAGTGTTACAAATATTCCCTTTTTAAGGGGAACTATACTATCACTCCATAACTTTGTTAGACAAAACGTTCATCCCTTGACCGCGGCCTCGTTCAGCGACTAGTTGTCGCCGCGAGCCCAAGCTCACTATCACATGTTTCGAACAATTACAATCGGACTAGATTTTTTTTTTTATTTATTAATATTTCCAATCAATTCTCGCATTGAGAATTTTCAGTAATTTTTTCTGGTGTGGCGCAGTGACATGGCTAATTATTTATAATAAGTTAATACTTATTATAGATAAGTATAATTTATAAGTAGGTGGATGATTACAATTGTTTAATTACAGCTATGGTAGAATCTAGATTACAATGTTACTGGATTTTCCCAAAATTTCCAAGGCTCCGGTGTTCTTTCATCTCCGACATATAATAGTCCATCCGATGGTGTATGTATCGAAACTTGAGACCGATCGATCTCCCTCTCTCTCTAATTCATCTCGCAGGACAGCGAGGATTAATTTCAAAACTCGCCCGTGTCCTTTATTTCCTGAGTTTTCTCATTTTTGTTTCATCGTACGTCGCGCGAAGATCTCATGCAAGAGAAGTAACGAATGGGGTGTAAAAGTAAGAAGGATAGGAAAGTTGATAAAATATCGTTATCACACATGATGAGTCGAGAGGACTTAGGAAAGACTTAATTTTTACGATTCTTTTTATTAATTGGATATTGTAATATCAGTGAAGATTAACTGTTTCCACTTTGAGAGATGCGCTGAAACATAATCTTTCTCGCAGAATGCATAAGCTCGTCCCCAGCTATTTTTCTTCACCTTATTATCATGTTACATTTACCGAATGTCCAGCTGGACAAATTGTAAAGTACAAATTAAATAATTAGAAAAAAAAACTATATTATCATTGTCTGAGAAAGCAGATATTGGATTTACTTGTTACGAAAGAAACATAAAATTATATATGCTACTGACCAAACATTTCTTTTATTATTATTTAATTTATACTTTACAGCTGGACATTTGGTAAATAGACCAAACATTTGTTTCATTTTTTCAATTGCAATTCTACACTCCTGTTAATTTTTCTATTAATTTCAGATTAATATCTATATATCTAATCTCTCTCTATATATATGTATATATATATATGTATAAATATCTATAATATATCTAATATCTCAATAATATCGATAAGTATCAATAGTAATTCTCTTTAGTTCGATAAATTTTTAAAATTTTTTAATCTATTTTCTAATCTTCTATGAAATCTTTATTTTAATACGAAAAATGATTGAAAAATGATTGACGCCACTTTTTAATAACCAGCATAGGACTAGTAGAATTAACAAAACTAAATGGCAATAATTTTGTGTCTAAACTTATCAAAAATACAGATTTTAATTTTCTACCAGTTGCAATAAAGCATTAACTAGAGACATAAGAGAAAAAATTCAAATGAGACTTCTTTATCGTTGCTCGTATAATTAATACGATCCACGATATAACGAGGTCGTAAATTAGAACATCGAGTAGCAGCACCAACAGACCGTGTCTAAGAGTTTGTAGATTGTATTTGTACATTGTATTCTGTTTTAATTTCATTGGAGTTACATAATTTACATAATGGATTATTTCTTTTTATATAACTCAAATACCTTGTGTATTTAAATCAATCAAATTCGAAGATGGTATCCCACTGGGGGTAGCCATCCACATGTTATAATACTATATCACTAAGCTATAATATTTTACCAAATGTCCTACTGGACAAATTGTAAAATGTAAATAAATAAATAAAAAAAAAACCTTGTGTATTTGATTGTTCAATCCAACTTGTCTGTAGTCATAATTACACAATATTCGAATATAAAAATAAATTTTTATTTTAGTATATAAAAAAACATACAAAAATTTTGTATTAAAAATTTCTTGTCAACAGCTCTAACTAAGATTTCGGAAAGTACAATTACATGCCTATATCCTATCAATTCCTACTTGTTTCGAAATCTAAAGTTTAATTACTTTGACTTTTACGATCTTGTTATGTCAAAACTTGTATTTCACCATTGACGTGGTATTACTTGAGCGATAAAGATGATTGGGACCTTTTCACGTACAATTTTCAGAATTTCCTTAACTTTACTCACAACTTTAGTTAAGGAAGTTTATCGCGTTAATACACAGCAGATATGACTTCAAACCTTCAAGCACTAGAACTTTTAAAAGCTTCCTCCACGATTATATAATAATAGTTTTATCCGCTTCATCAACAATGAATTTAAGCAAGATTCCAGCTTTCAGCTTTTGAACTTTCGCTTGCTGAGAGGAGCTTGTGACGCTCGACGATCCAGGAATTAGAATTTCTGCTCGTATCAAGTTTCTTCATTCGTCTTCAACTTTTATTTTTCTAGAAGTACCGTAGGCTATAGACTCAAAGAAAATCAGTCGATTCTATCTCTTCTTCGTCCTTTTTCTTATTAATTGAACAATTTACATCATTTGCATCAAGTACAAAATTTCTTCCAAAACAGCTCATATCAAACGAACCCACCAATTTCAGAGATACCTGTATTTCCTCGACGATGTAACGATAATTGAAAAAAACATCCTCCAGTTCCAGTCCATTAATCTCCCACGGTTTCCCCCTTTTATTCACAAGTTATCCCCTACTTTAATATCTACATGAAAGACACATCGGCTGATAGGAAAAATCCTCTGATGGAAAATTTTATTCGCAGATCATGCGTCTTTCTTTCTTTTCGATTTTCCTCTTCCTTATGACGTCGTATTTCGAAATGAACGAGAAGGAAAGTCACGAATCGATTCACTTGTCTGAAATAAAGTCCCGGGAATCGATCAAAGCTGAATCGAACAGGATGAAATAGACACGGTGACAAGGCGAGGAGATAAAGGAAATAAAGACGCTCGATGATCCGAATAAATCTCAATAGAAGTTTATTCATGAAACAAATTCAACCTGTATTTCGTGGTAACTTCATCCTCGAAAAGGCTATTACGCAATTAAGCCGTCGTTTTTTATTCATAACTCCATTAAACGAGTCTGGGAAAAAGTCCAGAAAAAATTTTTTGAAAAATGAACCATAACTTTCATATGCTTGAACAGAATGAAGGTAAAAAAATTGTTATTCACGAAAATTGCAGATTTATTAAAGGAAATTTAAATTTGAAGAATAATATAAATAACGATGAGGATGATTCGTTCGAAATTGGCTAACAATGTTCCGATAATCGTGAAACAGAAATGAATAAATGTGTATAGAATAGATGATGGGTTTTCTGTTAATATCCTCTTTTTTTGTATTCTCAACAGAGACGATGAGTGAAAACTGTAAACGTCACGCGGATTCGATACTCCGATGAAAGGACACAATGGAACTGAGAGTATGTCTTTATTTTGGGCACAATGGTGAGCGAAAAACCGGATAGTTTATGAGTAAATTGAGGCAGAAAAAGAAATATCGTGATTATTATGGAAATACAAATGGAAAAGTTTGTTACTTTTTGCTAGTTTCTTTTTAATAGCGAATGATTTTTTATTTATTTTATTTTTATATTATAAACATGAAAAAGATATTTATATTCATATTACAAATCCGTTTAATTTATTTGCTTTTTTTTTTTAAATAACACATAATAACAGAGCCTACGGAGAAATAAAAAAAATGATTAATTTTGATATGACGAAGATAAGCACGATATTTAATGTTGATGTTATAAATTGCTTTCTTCTGCTTATTTGCTTCTAGTAACAAATAATATTGAACTTCTGTTTGAAAAAATGAAAAAGATATTTAATATTTACGTTATAAAGATAGATATTTCCGATTGAGCTGTGGGTATTTGTTTAACGATACGCTGCATCGACGTAAAGGATGGAGGAAAAGTTGATTTTACTCGCGCGCTTTTCTATAGAAAAATTTTTTGATTCACGCGAAACGAAACAAATTTGTTATCCGTGATTCTACGGTTTCGCAGTAAAGGGATAGAAATTATTATACTAGTGGGATGCTGCATACTCACTTAAAAAGCTTCGTAAATAAAATATCTCAACATTTTTTCGTCGGACCCGTTTCATATTTAATTTCGACGAAATTGCAGCTTGTTTATTGAACGATGTACAAGAACGATTATTTGATGTGTAACCGAGAATCTTCGTAACGTAACGAACACGGATATGAAATTTTAAATACAAAAATTTCACTCGCTCACATTTTCATATAATAAACCAATCGATAACGATTCCTAAATGTTATTACTACAGTAGGAATTTAATTATTCGATTATTCATACAAAATAAAGGAAGATAAATATATTTTTTCACGAGGGCCATTCCCTTTTCCGTTAATTGATATTCTACAATTGGTATTCTGATAATCGAGCTTCTGCTGGATTAATTTTGATTGTTATTAAAGGAAACATGGGAAACATTGATCATCATTAATATTCCCATAATGAGTCTCAAATTGTCCTCATGGAGGCGACAAATGATTGCTGCATTCTCAGAAAGATGTCCAGCTGGACAAATAGTAAAATACTAATTAAATAAATAAAAAAAGAAATTCTCAGAGTGGGTAACTGGCACAAAAGTGAAAAATGAAACGATTAATGAATCAATAAATATAACTCACATGTTTCACGTTAATTAACAGGCAATATTAGCGATAAAAGTGACATGTTAATAATCCATTAATAAGCTAATTAATATAACAACAAAAGGCAAAAGTGCAGCGATTAAACATACTCAACTGATAGGAATACATAAATAACAGATGAAATGTCATTTATATGTATTTTGTACTGTGAAAATTCAATACAGTAAATATTGATTTTCTAATATTGACGAAAATAAAGATATAGTCAATATAGGAACTGGATGATAAGATATGACATGTGAACGTATGTATCTATACCAGTGACTGTTCGAACACTCCTAGAAACTAGGAACCTTTTATGCATATATTATACAAAACATTTTGAAATTTCATTAGCACCATAATAGTCAAACTCGAAGATGGTATCCTGTTGTGGGTAGCCATCCACATGTTATTTAGTAATTAAGTTAGAAAAATTTACCAAATGTACAGCTGGACAAATTGTAAAGTACAAATTAAATAATAAAAAAAAAAAGAAAAAAAATTAGCATCATAACGGTTAGCTTCATTACATTGGCAAAATTCTGAATGAATCTGGCGATGTATATGGGAGTTATATGTACAAGATATTTATTAGAAGCACATCTTGCAAAGATTTGTTTTTTCTTTATTTTAAAGTTGTATTCAACTTCCAGAGTTATTAGCGATTATTTGTTGGTTAAAATCATGCAAATGTTATTCTTGTTCTTGCTAAGGGCTACAGTACTCTAAAGATCTGTTTGCAATAAACATCTTGTAACTTCTGTACTCTTTCGGACTGGTTTCAAATTTTACCATTATAGTTTATTTTTTTTTTTTATTATTATTTAATTTGTACTTTACAATTTGAACAGCTGGACATTCGATAAATTTCCATTATAGTTGTGTTTGGTACTCATTACAGTGCCGAAGAAATCTGAAAAACTCTCGTGTAATGCACGTAACGTATCCATAAAATAATTCTGTGGCAGATGTTTGAATACTCTGGTGAACCACTGTATATGGAAATTCAATCGTTAGATGGTGGATTTTATTTCTCCTCAAAAAAGATTATGTATTGACGTCCACAAAGATAAGTGGAGTTTTCTTATTACCTGGCAATTTGCCTTTCTGATTTGATAACTTTCGGTCATTTGTTATTGGAGGAGCAACGTCACGAAATCGGCCAAAAGGTTACCAGGTCGAATACGTTTGATACGCGCTTAAATATTCTTCTGCCAATTCAATAAAAGTAAATTTAATCGACGAGCTATATTAATTGAACTGGCTTATTTCTTACGTAATCCATTTCCACCCTGATGGTTTTGTTTTAATAATCGCAATTATCGATACTTTTATTCAGATTTATAGTTTCTTCTCTTATTTTTTTTCTCTTTCATTGTTTCGTTAAACATTAAACAAACGAAGCAAATAAAACGCCGAGCGAACGAATCGTGTCAACTCGATAACCGGATGGAATTTTTACGAAATGTTAGAAGCAATTTACCAAATGTCCAGCTAGACAAATTGTAAAGTACAAATTAAATAATAAAAAAAAAAAAGAAAAAAGGAGAAAAAACGTTAGAAGGATGATTTATACTAATTGAGCTATTAGTTGAACTTCACATGCGAGCATGCGACGTGAATAATTCTAGCTCATAAATAATTTTCAATTCGTCGTTATTTCTAATCTATTTCTAATCAGTCCATATTTGTATTGTTAATTATAAACTTTGTTCGGATTTGAGTTTTTCTTTGCGTGTTCATGTACAAGATTGGTTGTCAATATACTGGATTTTAAAATTGCTCCATTATAATTTCAATTCTTTTTTAACTTCATTTTTAATTAAAAATGGGCTAAGGACAGGAGGACATGCGAAAAGTTAATTTTTTTAATTTATATGTAGACAGAGAGTAACCTTCGATCCTTCCGTGCTCCAGAGTATCAATTTCATGTACTTTCTTTCAAGGAATCAATCCCGAAGCTATTGTAAAAGGTTTGTTCCTTAGAGGTTGTAAATCGTTAAAGTTCAAACGTTATTTCACCAGCGAAGAGTTCGATGGAAGAAAAAGGATTTTAATAAAAAAAGATATATATATATAATACTGATAAGTCTTCCTTCATATATATTATAGGAAGACTTATCAGTTTCTTTTTCCTGTTGAAACATGCTATTTCTATCTTTACGAGCTCTTGTAGCGATTAAAAGCAAAAATAAAAAGTACGTGGGTTGTAACAAATTCAGCGCCATATGAACAGAAATTTGTACGGAGATAAAAAGCGTCGGTTTTCGCGAGAGCTGTTATTGATAAGGCTTGTCATCGAGGACAGTTCATTTAAAATTTTTCTCGTTACCACATCACCACGTATAACAAATTATTCGCGATCAATCGTAATATCTTTTCAGTTAAACAAAAACATGTTAACAATTTTTGTGCTTCTTTCATTTATACTTATATTTTATTTTATTAAAACAAATCTTCAAGCACTTAATTACACGTTACATGTTATAATACACATTAAATGCTAACGATGATTTTTCACTCACAGAAATGTACCGTCTATCTGCTATCGAGAGAAAATTACTTTTACCAAGTTGTTAGAATATTCGTTTCACCAACGATTTCCGTGTCGATTTAATTAAAATTTCCGGATTCCACGGTAATTGCGCACCGTGTCGACCCTGCGGTTACATCGATTGTATTCTTTTGTATTTTATTTGATTGTATTCGGCTGTAGATCTATGTAAAAATAGACACGGTTACAGTTTTTTTTTTTTCAGTAAAGATAGAGAAAATGAAGAAAAGCGAAAAACCTGGTTAAATGTTAACGCTGGTATTACAGACATATAACATAAATTTTAATTTGTAGTGATCATAGCTGGAGGAATTTATTTTCGCTAATATGCTGAAAATCCTGTTTCGATTTCAATAAAAACATCTATACACAAAAGCATCGATATATTTTTCACCATCGTAAGAAAAGAAATTCTAAAAGCTTTGCTATTTCTATCTAAAATAAAATATAAGATAACTAGATACAATGGACGTACGTAAGTAATCTGACCAATTTTTCTTTGAAGATACTCTGAAATAGCATAAAAGTCAATGCTCCTACTTCGACTATTGAATATCGACTATTGAATAATATCGGTTGATATAGAGAAAGAGAGAAAAAAGAGCTATCATCGTTCATTTTATTATGCTTTCTTTCTTGTTTTGCTCTGTCCTTTTACGCGCATCCGTCTTTGTGTGTCAGTTATGTAATGCTTCCACCGCGTTTTCTTTAATACCTTATAATTCTACACATTTATTTACTCGTATTTTCCTCTCTGATTTGTAATACAAATTTATTACGTACATATTTTTATATAGGAAATATCGATATACAGTTGAAATTACTGTTTATGTATAAACAAGAATATTCTTAATTTTTTTGTCAGGAAACTTTTTTCCTTTCAAGCAAAATAAAATAAATTCAAAATGAAATGGAAACCAACTTAAATGTGTGGGTGTATATACTATGAATATTTTCTTAATATATTGGTCCATCGCAAATGTCACGATCATAAACTTTTTATGGAAATCAATATTTTTAACATTTAGTCACACGTCATGACAGTGCGTGTTAGAATACTGATATCTGAGAGTGCTAAGTTTAAAGTAAATAAAATAAATATTTTAAATTTGAGAACGTGAGTGTAAAAGTACTATGTTGTCCGTCTTTGTTTCTCATACATACGATAAGTTTCTTTTTTATTACTTAATTTGTACTTTACAATTTGTCCAGCTGGAC